AAACTTTCGGTTTACTATTTGTTTCCTATTTCGTGTGGTACTCTCCATTAGCGGACTCCTACGTCCAGTTTTGAGGGCTGGGCTTCTGGAATTGCGGTCGTCTCGTCTCGGTCAGGCCGATGACGCCATACTTTATTCTTCTCGCTTAAATGATACAGCCTTCTATCGAGGACTAGAATGCAAACGTACGTGCATTGTAGGCACAGATCGTCATCTTTATTTTTCGCGATCCAAACAGGCTTCCATTGGCTCAGAGATTTTAGCAGCCTCTCCGTACTCGTCTTACCTAACGCTGCTGAATTGGAGGCTCTTTCGAGGTCAGAGGATGAGGTCTGTTTGGTTTACTGTTTTTCGCTTTTTGATACCCACCTGGGCTCTGAACATGGGTGCTAGGTATACTCATGAATCGCTTGCCACTTTCTGCCAGAGTGGACATGGAGCTCATTTGGTGGAGGCGACTCCTAACCGCTTCCCATATATATCCCTGTCACTTGATTGACTCATAGAATACATCCCGAATAAACGTGAACGCGTCCACACACGTGTGCATGAATACGCCTTGTACATACAGAAGGCATGTCGCAAATTGGAGCTGCAAAAGCAAGGAGTCCATCCCTTGGACCCACCTGCATTTCAGGGAAATATACGGCCGCCTTTAATTCCCGATTAACCCCCTACCCGTCACCTAGGGACGCGCCACGTAGCCTCGTGACTAACCGGCTCGAATTCCCTTATATGAGAGACCCCCGTCGTTCTAACGTTAGCACTATGAAAACTAAGGAAGTCTCGAAAAGACGTCTATCTACAGAAATACTCGGGCTGATAGCCAGTGTAGAATCGCAAAGCTAAAGGCAACCGCCAACTCACGTTCGAAATTGCAAAACAAGCCGTTAAAAGATCTTAGGGAGTGAAAATCATCATCTTTGATCGATACTGCAAAGCCTCGGAAAAGCTCCCGCAGAGGCACTAGTGCTTATCGGATTTGATAATGTTTTGGAAAGACTTGCTTTCGACAAATCTTACAAAAGCGAAAGTTGAAGAAGAAAAGATCGCTTTCACATGCCCCGTTCATGCTCAACAGAACGCAACTCTTCGAATGTTCTAGCTACGTTTGCTCAACTTAGAAAGTCAACGTGGCGAACAACATAGCTCAAGAGTTAGGCAGAAGCTCTCCCAACGATGATTAGCTTTAATGAGCATCAAGAATGCAGTGAAGAAAGCAAAGAACATCCGTCTGAGTGCCCGCTTTTTCGACTCCACGGTTCTTCATGCCTTAACTTATGCGCCTGAAAAATGATTCCTAGGGAAGAACTATAAAAGACCATACAGCACTATAGGACGGCTGCCGAATGCATCGTTATAGCAGCATCCTAAGCATTCCTTATGACTCAAGTGAGAGAGAGGATCCGAAACTCCGACCTGCGTCAATGATCAAAAATCAAAAATGGCGTTCTGTACGCCGAACAGTCGAAGATAAGATGGGCCTGATACGTAATGCTTATGAATGACAACCGATGAACAACAGCCGTTAGTGACTGCATTCCTCGGGATATCAAACGTACTGCAGGAAGACCACCGACCAGGTCAGAGTTCTTTATGAAAAGCCTAGAAGATATGATGCTCAACGAGTCCTTAGAGCGAGCGGAACCCACTGAGCTACTCTTGCACGCGGCAGAGAAAAGTGGGAGATTTACTGGCACTCGCTCGAGTCACTCGACGATCAACGGGACTACAGGTGGTATAGGTGATTATGCATGACCTGTCATCAAATTTATTGTGCGGATGCCAGCACTTCTATATTCGGTTCATTTTTCTCGGATTCACTATCTACAATGGTCTTCGATGATTTTTCGTCTTGTTGCAGTTGCTGCTCGAAGGTTTCGTTTTCTTCATGAACGTCGTAGAATGCTGGTCAAGGTCCTTGAAATCTTGGAAATAACCATGCTAAAGCCTTCCACGTGAACTGGAGGACAGCGCGCAACTTGGATTGAGTTAGTGCCTTTTGCTTCCTTATCCACGACATCACTAACCACTGCGCTATCGCTGCTTTGTGCCAAATATAACTATATTATTGTTAACTGTTGTTGTCTTAGAATTACTAGTATTTACCTTTCTATGCATCGCGTAAGCCGACATTCTATACTGTGCGTGTCTCAGCATTTTTCTAATACAGCAGTGCCAGGGGGTTTTCTGTCACAAGTCTTTTTAAACGGACGACTCTTTCCGGACAAGTCTAGTACCAATTTTCCGAATCCGAAGTGATGGGTGCACAGTACTGAACTGTATCTCTAGAATTGTACCTCCTATGAACGATTTACTGGTAATACTAATATTATTGGTACAGAATCTGACATCACATGTATCACAATGTCCGGATTTAAAAATTTCTTTTATTCAATTCGTTCCCACGCATTCACCATCCAGAAAGTTCCTCGAACTTTCACTACGGGTGGATCCGGCTACTGCGCGAAGATTTTTCGTCATTGTCATGAATGTCACTAAATACCGATGGAGTCGAGTCTCCCTAAAGTCCTAAAATAGCTGTGCTATGGTATTCCCGCGTAGATTCGCGGAGCAACGTTTTCTGAGAAGCCAGAAAGATTACAGGCTTCGTAATCATGGTTTAGAGTAGAACCGGCGCCGTTTGGGTTGGGCCGCCCATGCAATGAAATGATCACCACCATTGCGCTACGCAGTCCTGTTTAAGTTAGTCCTTTACTTGTCAATATAACATCTGTGAACTTAAAAGAGAAATAAAATTTAATGCAAAGAAAAGCCTTGTAATAACTTTTTAAATAATTGAGATGACACGAAAATGGTATTAAAATGTATAAAAGGAAGAAAGAAAAAGATATGGTAAGATGAAAACCACTTAGTCTAAAATAATTGAAGGTGGATCTTTCTACTCAATGTGGTGGTAATAACCATAGAAATTAGGTAGAAAATTCGTGTTGGTCTCATTTTTCTTAGTGCTTAAGGATTTGTTTATGACGTTGCATTTTTAAGGGAGTATATGAAGCAATCAAGGACGGGACAAACACTGCTATTAGGAAAACTTCAGCCAAGGTCAACCATCTTCCTTATAACTTGTGACTTCAGAAGTATTAATAAGCTAAAGTCATAATAACAGTTGCTACGTCTGTTAACTCTAGAAATCGCTATCCTATTTGTATTCTTTCTTGATAAGCTTGCACGAGGTTGATAAATATATTTATTTTCGGCTAACGTTTCGACGTCTTCGTCTTCCTCAGAGCCGGTGATCCGAGTCGATGGTCCATGCTTGTTGTTCGCCTCGACGTTGCGTCTTCGCCTTCGTGTCGAGCCAGATCTTCCTCAGTGAGCCGCAGC